GTGCTGCAACGCCCACACCAAAGCCAACGTTTCTTTCTCAATCGTAGAGTAATTTAGTTGATACAAGTTAAACTTCTTAGAAAAGAAACTAGCTGGCCGATCAACTCCATTGTCATCTTTTTGGAATAATACCGCTCCTGCACCCACCCGGCTTGCATCTACTTGGATCTGAAACACTCGAACCCACTGAGGCGCAACTAGGACAGGAGCAGTTCTCAGCAGAAGTTTTGCATTTTCAAACGTCCACTGACAGTTTGAAGACCACTCAAACTTACGTTTGGCCTTCAATAAATCAGAAAGCGGCGCAACTACAGTCGAGAATTTTGCACAAAAACTGCGTTAATATCCAATCATCCCCAAAAATCTCATCAACTCCTTTTTAGTAGTAGGAGCGGGCGATATATTAAATAGCGTGATGAAGGAAAACGCAAAAATTATCATGATATTATCTGTCATAAACGTTATCAACGCTGTCAAAAACAGTAGCATTTAACACTAGTAGCCTCAGGGGCGCTGCTAAGGTGGGGAAGTTAGGATTATTCTAAGGGCCCACGCACTTTTTGGGCCCCCAGATAACTGTTTTATTAGTAGTAACAATAGTAGTAGTAATGTAATAGAAATTATAAATGTATCTACCAAAGAGTTACAAATAAAACTAAATTACGGCTTATTTCTGCATTTCCAGCAAAATTATCTCCCCCCATTCACTGCATGGGTTTGTCTCATCCTACGTAGCCTAGAGTCACGAGTGAGATCAGATGGTAAACTGTCAAATTAGAGATGTCTTCGAGTTCGAGGGGGGCAAACCGAGCCAGGAAGCGCGTGAGGTTGTCATGGCAACCAGATACACTGCTCACCAATGTTACCAAGTCTGCGGTTTTCCCGCGGAATTGGGCTATTTTAACACTGTTGCCGCGGGTTGTTTTTCATGTCCGCGGGTTGAAGCGACTCCAATAACGCGATATTTAGCCCCTGGAATGCCAATTTTAGCAGGGGAACCCCGCCAAAAAACGTGTACTTTACCCCCCAGAACGTGATTTTTAACTGGGGACCCCCTCGAAATGCGATTGGGCTAGTTTTGGGTTAGTTTTAAGTAGCGATTGGGCGGGTTTTCTTGTGAAAACCTGGCAAACCTGCTGCTCGCGAATTACGGCTGCGCTTCTATTTTGCCACACTAAACTTAGCAATAAACACGTTGAAAATAATACACAATAAACATGTCTGTCAAAACGATCTCAAAGGAGGTTTTAATTAAGCAAATCAATGAGTGAATTACTCATCCACTGTTTAAAAAAAATACTTTAGCTGGGTTTCTACAGGCAGGGTCACAATTATCTACAGTGTATGAAGCTAAAGGTTTTTGGGTTAAGGTTCATAATGTAGAACATTTTTAACATTGTATACTGTATGTGCATATAGGTAGCTAGCAAACAAGGAATACAGCTGTTAAGCTAATAGTCACATTTAGCTGAGTAAGATCATGATTGAGAAATGTTGGATACTGCTGGAAATGCTGGTGTTATGGGGTATCCTATTTATTATTTTGCTCAGCAATGAATCCTCTGCAGTGAATGGGTGCCGTCAGAATGAGAGTCCAAACAGCTGATAAAAACATCACAATAATCCACAAGTAATCCACACGACTCCAGTCCATCAGGTAACGTCTTGTAAAGAAAAAAAGCTGTGTTTGTAAGAAACAAATGAATTACTAATAATTAATCAGATGAAGCACTGTTGGTGAAGCTCTGCTTGACATAGTGCTGTGGGAAAAATTGTATTAAATTTTAAATTTAAAAATTTAATCAGAATTACACTGGTTGTATAATATTTTTCTATGATTGCTATTAATTATAATAATAGTATTTTAATTATATAATATTCTATTGTTTAAGATTAAATGGAATGGAATAATTTTAATGTGAATGAAATATACATTTATTTAGCAGATACTTTTATACAGAGTGACTTACAAAGGACGTTAAACACATGAAAATGTCTAAATATAGAGATTTAAATAAGGAAAATAATCCTCAAGAATGAAAACATCTCTAACAGTGGACACATCAAATGAAAACCAGGAATCATTTTGGATTTTTAAACAAATTTTTTATTTGTGAAATATTAACACAATCCTGCCCATCATGCCAGTGCAAACTCCATCCAAAATCCCAGTGCTTCTGAAGTCTCGGAAAAACTTTTCTGATCACCTTGGAATGTTTTCCTGTAGCCTACATGTCATTTCCACAACCTGATGAACACAAATACAACAGATGTCATAAATATATTTCATGGAAAATTCAGGGACTGTAAATACTGTAATTTTAAGGATAATATACACTATTGCCTTCTAATGAACAGGTTTGACTACTTTAGTAATTTCCAAGAGTACAAATCTTAACGTGATGTTCTGAATTAATTGTGTGCTTCTAAATTAAAACAAGAGTTTGGACAGGACCCTTGTCTATTCTAACACGACAATGCCTGTGTATAAGGCAAGGTTCAAAAAGAAATGATTGATTCAGTCAGTGTGGAAGAACTTGACTGCTCTGCAGAAAGCCAGCTGAACACCTCTGGTGTGACTTTAAATGAAGACCTTGAGACAAAAACTCATCACCAAACACCTGTGACTTGTACATACATATGGACAAATGTATTGGGACACCCCCTTCTTTAGGACAGAAAAATGCACTTCCAGAACTGTGGCATCAAAGATGGAAACATAATTCATGTATTTAAAAATTGTATTTCCATCTTTTTTTGCCACAGTTTTGGAAGTGTCTAAGATGATTGTACGCATATGTACAAGTCATTGGTGTTTGGTGATGAGTTTTTTTTTTTGTTTTCCCAATACTTTGGGCAATATAGTGTATGTTTGGTGCGGTAGGGGGGCCAACC